AATCATAGAATGTTTTGGGTTGGAAGGGACCCCGAGAGGTCATCTAGTCCAACCCCCCTGCAGGGAGCAGGGACACCGCTAACCAGATCAGGTTGCTCACAGCCCCGTCCAACCTGGCCTTGAATGTTCCCAGGGATGGGGCCTCCACTCCCTTTCTGGGCAACCTGTTCCAATGTTTCACCACCCTCATTGTAAAGAATTTCTTCCTTGTATCCAGACTGAATCCACCCTCTTTTTGTTTAAAACCATTACCCCTTGTCCTGTCACTGCAGGCCCTGCTAAGAAGATTTTCTCCGCCTTTCCTATAGGCCCCCTTTAGGTACTGAAAGGCCGCAATCAGGTCTCCCTGCAGCCTTGCCTTCTCCAGGCTGAACAAGCCCAACTCTCTCAGCCTGTCCTCATAGGAGAGATGCTCCAGCTCTCGGATCATTTTTGTGGCCCTCCTCTGGACCCGCTCCAACACTTCCATGTCCTTCTTGTGCTGAGGGCTCCAGAGCTGGACACAGGGCTCCAGGTGAGGCCTCACCAGAGCAGAGCAGAGGGGCAGAATCCCCTCCCTCACCCTGCTGCCCACGCTTCTCCTGATGCAGCCCAGGGTAGGGTTGGCCTTCTGGGCTGCCAGCGCACATTGCCAGCTGATGTCCAGCTTTTCATCCACCAGCACCCCCAAGTCCCTCTCGGCAGGGCTGCTCTCGATCCTTTCTTCCCCCAGCCTGTACTGATACCGGGGGTTACCCCGAGCCAGGTGCAGGACCTTGCACTTGGCCTTGTTGAACCTCATGAGGTTCACACAGTCCCACCTCTCCAGCCTGTCCATGTCTCTTTAGATGAGATGAGTTATGGGAAATGGTTTAGGACCCGGGTTTATTTAACTGGACATCAAAGCATGTTGGTGAGTGAGGAAAGCTGCTGTTAGGCCTGCTGAGGTGTGTGGAATTCATGCTTCCATGAAGCTGTGATACTTTTGATGCCTCCCTGAAATAGAGCAGATTTTGGTAAAATAAAGAGAGAATAGGGTTTGTTAATTAAACAACCTTACAAGCATCTGGATCGCAAAATCCCATCAAGCACGTGATCAGGCTTGAGATTCTTCCAAGGTTCTCCAGCTGTGTCCGGATGAGACATCAAGTGATGCTACTTGTGTAGGCTCCTTCTGGTTTCAGTGGGCAATGCGTTCTCCTTATCCTAAGTAGAATTCATCCTCCCTTTTTAATGGAATGAGCTGCTCTTGGGAAGCGCCTGTCTTCACAGGCTGGTGGAAGAACGTAAGCAAGGAACTGAAACCACAGGCCTGCCTTGTTGAGGACTCAAGTTGCGTCCCATGTTTTTGGAGATGCAGAAGTGAGCTGGTTCCTGCCATCCATTGGGATTGAGGTGTGAGTGCCCCCACCGCCCCCCTTCCATCACTATCACAACTCAGTGTCAGAAAATGAACTTTCAAAAGCACAACCACCCCTTGACCAAAGTAGGAAAGTTCCTGATTCCCGTTGTTCAGCATGGTTTGAGTGGAAATGAAGGTGCTGGCAAGTGAGGATGGGGGGACCAAATGTTTGTCAGGACTAGGTCCTCACTCTGCTGCTAAGCATGGATGCTTACCTACAGCACATAGTGCATGTCCTCAGAGATGTGGTGATGAATGTGCTGGGGGAGCCTATGTAAAGGATCATCCATGAAGGACCATTGCCTTTCTTAGTAGGGACATCTTCTCTTTTGTCTCTGAATAATGGTACGTTTTATTATGAATCAGTCCCAGATACCAAACTAGAGCTGAGAGGTTCCTCTCTTGGGTGTAGGGGTGTCCTTGATCTCGGTCCTCATGGCTCACGGATTGAGCTGGTTTCAATGCAAGGCCACCACTTCCTGTGTCACATTCAGACTCCAGGCTCTGCAACACCTTTCAGAGATCTCCTTTTCCTCTTTCTACTTTAATTTGCTGAAGCACCTTGTGACTCACCACTACAGAAAAGATACCACCAGCCCCTGTCTCTTCTGATGTTTGTCCCTCGTGCTGGACAAGGGTGATGTCAGGGAAGCACAGGAGATGGCTTCAGGGGGAGTTATTCCTTTCTGCTGCCTGCAATAAACTGCTAATAAAAATATCCCTTTAAGGCAAGACAAAATCTTATTGTCAATGGAGCGATGGAGCTGGAAGTGGGCTCTCGGGCATCTCTTTTCAGTGTGGGTACCCTTCGTTGACCAGATAGGGCACCGGGCAAATGCAGTTCCAGTGGAGAGGTCTGTGTGGGATCAGACAAAATCAACCCTTTCCTGTGCCCCCATCTCATGTTTCCAAAATAATAAAATCAAAATAATCTAGATAAGTATATGTATGTTTTACATTGGTGCCCTATTCCAAAACTGGGAGGGGTAGGTGGTTAATGAGATAAATTAAGAAATCCCTTTGACTTTAGAATACTCTGGTTTGGCAGTTTGTCCTCTAGATGATACTTTGCAGTAGGCTTGTCATTGTTAGGCTGAGGACCTAAGCCAAATCAGTGAAACACCAACATCAACAACACAGTTTATTAGTAATTTATATTGCAGTGCCACAGTGATGATATGACTAAGGAAGAAAAAAATTCAGACAACCAGTTCCTTCTGCAGAACATTGCGTAAGAGATGTCAGGAGGCCAGACAGGGAGGTTAGGCAGTACAAGGTAATTTCTTTTTTCTTCCAAACCTACCAATAGCTTTCATTTTACTCGTAGCTAAAGTTGCAGGGCTCTGATTGCTGATGAACTCCAACCTAAGATGTTTATGACTGAGGTTTATCTTTATATACTAAGGCAAGCCTAGGTCTGTGTTTAATTAATGTCAAACAGTTAAACAGAAGGAGACAGGAGGAAAGAGAGAAGAGGCAGAATGACAGGGACCTGCATTTTTGGAATGGGGCTTGGCAGGAGGTGAGTTTAGGATTAATTTTCTCCATGCTTGCTTACACCCATGTAACAGAAGATGGGAAATGAGAAGTAGCTTGGGGCACCAGAGCTGGAGGACGTGCTGAGTTTCAGATATGATTGATTTCATAGTCACTTTGTGGAAGGATGAGTGACTTTTGCATAGCGGTAAGAAACTCTTCAGCTTCTTAGTAATATCAGACATCACATGGATGCCTCAGCGCATTGTGGCAGCAGGAGCACGTCTCAGGACATAGGAGTTGCGTTGTGATGGTTGGTAGACACAAAAGTAGCGTCAAAATGATGGTGCTCCAGCAGGTCCACTGTTTCTGTTGCCCATGGTATCTCCTCATGGTGCTTCAGAAGGA